AAGCAGGGCCACTGGGGCCGGAAAGCTGCCTCTGGCTGAGGCCCCTCCTGGTAGGGACTGAGGAGAGTGGTAGACACCATCAGACAAGTCCGGGAGGAAAAGAGTAAAATCCGGAAAAGACTAACATCCCCATTTTTAACCTTCCCAGGGTGTCTCACCCACGTCTGTCTCAGCTGTCTCCTTCCATGTCCCCCACGCCTCTGGTGCAAGCACAGCTTCCTCACACGTCTCCCTGCTCCACATGCCTCCTCCATATCTCCTTCTGGCTCGCATCCTGCTTCCTCTTCCCTTCTCCAGTCCTGTCCAGCTTCTCCTCCTCCCTGCTCAGCCTAACCCTCCATTGGCAGTGCGCAGGGAACCTGGAGCCCCCTGTTGCATGGCCTCAGGGGTGAGCGAGCTGTCCTGTCAAGGCTTCATCCCATATTACATAGTGTGGGGTTAGGGAGCCCTGCGCTGAAGACAGGACTGACTGAGCCTGGCCTCTCCAGTTACCAGTCGAAACACAGAGGCCAAACTGTACGGTGAACAGTGTCATAAGCCATTTTCATTAGTGAAGCCCAGTGGCTTTCAAGATGTTAGGCTGGATAAAACATTTTAAAGAGACTCCTTTCTCATTGCGGTTAAAAGGGTAGGTTGTTCCTTCTGCTGTTTGCAAGGTACAGAGCAGTGAATTATCTCAGGTCTCTAGTGTCTGCTTTGAATTCCAAGAATGTGGTTTGCCAATAAATCTGAACCAAATCTTGACCAAATTGTACTGCACGTTTTCCTTAGATGAGCTTTTATGCAAATTAAAGCCTGCAGTTTGCCCCAACTCCCTTGACCTTGCCAAATGTGTTAAAATCTTTGTCTGCTATTTATTTGTACATTAAATAGCTAATATGCAAGAGATTTTGATCCTAAATACTCTTTTTATTGCTCACAAAGTAAAACAGAGGCAATTGTCTTCTACAAAAAGCTGAGCGTTATGCATGACCAAATGGGTTATCGGTTCTCGGCAGAGACCGGGTTTACTGAGGTCAAATTCTACATTTCGAATGTTCAGTACAGAGACCCTTGCTGGTCCATGTCCTATGGTGCTTTTGCGGAAACATATTTCCCTGGAATAGATAGAGAGGAAAATAACTCACAAGGTAGTGAAACACCTAAGATGAAAAGGTCCCCATTCTTTTTAACTGGTGTGTTATTTTGATAAATAATAAGCACAATTGAATTTTCCTACCCTGTAAGGTTGAAGATGTCAAGAATACTTCAAAACAGGTTTTAAACAAGCAAAATTCTTATTCTACTTTCAACTAGCACAAACATTTGTTTTTGAGTTCAGTATACATACGGCCTTTACAAATAAGCATTGACTTCGCTTTGGTTAATGCTGTTCAAACAGAAAAATGTTATCAGTTTAAAAAATATAAAAATTCCAATTATACAAAGTAATTAAAAGTATAATTTGACAAAGATGTCAGTTCATAGTGAATATTTTTTAAATCGATATGTTTTTTATTTATAGGCAGGAAAAAAAAGGAGCAAAGTCATTTTTCTGAATGGCCTAAGAAATGCTGTGTTTGTAGACTGCAAACACTGTTTCACAAGCAAGAAAACTGGAGAACTTCTGGGCATTCTCAGTGGGTCAGAACATTTTTGTCATAGAACTTAGACATCGTCTCCACTTGTGTTCACAGTGGAAAATTGCAATACAGTCGGTTTTCTGTTCAAATACTAGCTAATTGCCAATCAGCTGATAGTCACCTGTCTACAATGAGAATTAGGTAGGGTCCACACAGACAACCTTGGTGAATAGGAATCTTCTGGAAATAAGTAAATTGAAAATTATTTTACTTTCAAATCTCTGCTTCATTGGAACTGTCCAGATGACCCCATAGTTATAGAGCATAAGCTGAGGATTGACACAATTGCTTAAAACAAACACTAGCTCCTTCCTCGCAAACATAACTTTTCATGAAATTAACGTAAAGGTGATAGAAGGTGCATAGGTTTTTACTGTGGAAAGGTGTGTGTGATGTCTATCTGACCTTAGCCTCCGGGTTGTGCTTATTTCAATATTGCAGCCAATGAGTTTTATAAATGGAAAGGGGATATGCTAAATACTACCCAAGTCATAAAAATACATTTCTATATTTGAAAATATATTTTCTCTAGCAGACTATTCAAAAAGAAATATATATTTTTACTTATATATTTAACATTTGAAATATCACTTTAGGACAGATTAAACCTATCGTATATCATCAAGAGGCAAATGTCATTAAAAATTTTAAAGATTATTTCTAAATATTTTGCTCTAGGGCTTGCCACAAGAAAAAAACATTGCATTTTTCCACCAACCTCTCAATTTTTGTCACAATAAAAAGTTGAAGAGTTGGAACATTAAATTTATAAGGGGTTGAAACGGAATGTTTTCTATTTTCACAGGGAAATGCTGGCTTTTGGCCTATTTTTAATACTCAACCCCCAACCCCCAGACACTTGCTGGCATCTAATGTTAGCCGCCTATATCTAAATAAAATAGTTGCCCCAGACTCTTCCATTCGGGTGAACCCCAGCACGCTCCTTGATGCCATAGTTGGGATTCCTGGGGCAGAGCGAGTGGCTGTGAAATACAGTCGTTATTTCCTGTCTTCAAAACAGAAGCAGCAGCATCAGCCACAGTGGTGTTTCAGCCCATAATGTTCAACTTGATCGAGCTGCTCTGTCTGGATGGTGATTTTATTAAATCAGTGTTGCAGCCCAGAGTCTAATGGCAGAATGGTGATTCAGTGTAAATTTTATCCTGCGATTACTCTCCAAGGAGATTAATACTTTAATTTGTGTTTCATGCCCCTGTTATTATTGTAGAATCATTTTAGCCAAAATTTGAAAATTCTTTGAAACAAATGAATCCCAGAATTCTTATTAAGCACAGAAAGCAATAAAATGTGAATTTATTACACTGCATTGGAGCTGCTGGGTATTGTCTGTTTAATTCTTCATTGCCTGAGTGTTTCTTTCCGGCATTGCTGGATGGCACAGCTCTGGTTTTAGGTAATATCACCCACTAAGTAATGAAAACATCTTCTGTCACTTCACAGGCTTCCTTACCTGGCTCTGATCAGATCGTCACTTTGCTTTTGTGACTATGAACTACTGTTTTAATTTTAGCATTTTCACCCACTGCTTTTCAAACAGCCGTGCCTGGTATCTTTTTGAAATGAATGAAATTAGTTGGCATTTTGTTGTTTAGCTTTTACCATTGGGGAAAAAAAAACAACAACAACAACAACAAACACCCTCTGCCAATTATTTTAACATGTGTATATGATTTTCTGCATGGAGATTTCCAAACGAATAGCATTAATTTGTAAGCTGTGCAAAAACAATCCATGTGTTTGTGTGTTGGCTACAAGACAAGGTATTAGTGTGTTTGGAGTTGTCTTTGCTGCAAGGTGTTGAAAGGGTTGTGATTCTAAATTGGCATCAGAGAGCTCGGAAAACAGATTTAATTTAGTCAATCATTTTGGAAAAATGTATTTACTAGCTAATTGTAATTTCAAAGGTTATATTTTAGTAATTTAAAATTATTATAGTTTTGCTTTGTTTATTTTTGTTTTGTCTTCTCTCCTTTCTTTTCTTTCTCCACTCTTCCCTTCGGGCCGGATTTTCTAGTATTTGCCAGATGATAGATGAAGTTAAGTGGGTAAGTTGAAGAAGAATAAGAAAAAATTCTGGCAGCAAGCTCTTATTTATCAAAAAAAAAAAAAAAAGTGAAATGAAAACAAACCTTACAAGTGGAGGAATGGATTTTTTTGAAGAGATGATTCGGTTATACGGATAGCTCCCTTCCTGCTACTTACTTTATATCAAGAATCTCTGCCCTCATTATCTTTCACTCCCTAACTGCAGCATCAGCTCTCTGCAGTCACAGATGCTCCCATGGCCTGCAGCCGTCTTTATTTCTTATCAGCTGCTCTTTGTATATGGTGGCACACGCGATTGTATATGTTCTCACACATGATTCTCTCTCTCTCGTGCATTTTATCAAATGAGAAAGCAGGTTCATCGCTCTATGCTCTATGCTACGATGGTGTATGACTCTTTTCAGCTTTCTCTCCACTGTACTATGGGCATTTGATAGCGCAGCAAGGAGTAAGAAAGGTGAGCAAGGCTATGGCACATTATTCTGCTCCCGAAGGTCTTTCATCTATTGATCCTATTAATGGTTACTGCAGACTGATAACCCTTAATTTTTAGTATCTTCCACATTTGTCATTACAGTTAGCAATCTATCCTGAAAAATACTGAACAGATGGCCTTGTGCTTGTAAAATATGGCTCCCTTAATCCTAAAACTCTTCTAGAATGTGGTACGCTCAACTCTCACTCCGAATTAAATGTCCAGGAGAGTGAAATGACTGCACCTATACCACATACCAGATAAAGCTAGAAGTGAGCTGGCCTATGAGCCGCGGGAGGCTGGAAGGACGCTGTCTGGTCATACCAACTGGACCATTTGATCCTGACAAACTCAGCCCTGTGTCTCACACTGGGGAGTAGTTGGATTTTCTGTTCACTCCTCCTCAGCTCCCATCTCTCCCCAGACGCTCAGTCTTTTCATTTAAAAAGCATTTTTTAATGGAACGCACATTCTCAGATGGCTCTGCCTTGCTTCGCTGCTCCCCCAGCTTCACGCCCAGCAAACAACAATGCGAATGTCACAGTCAGGCCTGGCCCAGCCAGCTGCTTGCCTACCAGGCATGGTGGCCCGTTCAGCTTTGGGGAGTTAGTGCAGGCTGAGCCCGCTACACGTGGGCCTTGCTCGGCAAGCCAGCAGGGCAGGATTTGTGCTGAGAGGCTCACGGAAAAGGACAGTTAGGTAATCAGCTTTAACTGAGACCACCTGAGACGTGGGCCAAGGACGTCCGTGTAAGTTTACGCCAGCCCCTCCGTGACTCAGGCAATGGAGGAGGTGGCCAAGTCGACGTCTTTTGTGATTATTATCCCTAAGTGAGTATGTCGGAAACAAACAGCCCGCTAATGCTGCACGCCCACGCAGTTCCCGTTAGAGGCACCGTGCCTCCTCTCTCGTGTTCCGCCGTGGGTGTCACTAGCGTAAACTACATAAAGTTTGATCTCATCTTCATTATACATCATAATGTCTTTTTTAAAACTTGTCAGTTAAAATAATGTATTTATATACAATAGTTTTCACATTGGACTACTATTACTGAATTCAAATCTAAAGTCTATTTTATTTTTTTGTTAATTTTTTTTCTTTAGTCATTTAACCTTGGCTGACAACACTGTGCAAGAGTAAAACTATAGGCTCACCCTGCAGGTGTCTTTCCCCACACCAACCTTCCACGAGACACCCCAAAATCTCCACCGTCGTCCACTGTGCCTCTCCCTGCGCCCTGCCCCGCTCTAGTAGCTTCAGTTCTTCAATCACATTTCTCTCACTATTTCCCACAGATACACCAAACAAAATGTGGTGGCTCTTTGAGTTTAGACATTATGCATGTGGACACTAGAGGTTCTCCTTTCTGTTTAATGGTACTGAAAAAAAAATGGCAGAAATAAAAATATTTGATCTTTTCTAAAAGAAAGAAGAGAATACGCTGTTAAGGTTCTCACTGTTGTCTTGCTTGGGTCAGAGCTGTTTCTGTCCCTCTGTCAAAGGCTGGCACTGACTGTCCTGCTCTCATGGCGCATTAGTGCCTCAGTCAGACAGGTGGACCTGGGTGTGCGCACCCCCTCCCACACACGCACCCCTCTCCAGGTACGGTCTCCCCGAACACCTCTTCCTGCCCTGTGTACTTAAGGGGAACCCCAGGGGCCGCAGACGATAGGGGTTTCCATCAATAAGTCTCCAGAGAAGACTCCCTGGCCGCCGGACCCCACTGAGGAACAGCATTTTCCTTCGGGGACCCTCCACAGTTCGCCCCGCTAGGACACAGGCGCCTGCTTGCCGCTTGAACACCTGGTCAGTGGGAGAGGCCTTTGGCAGCTGGGGTTCTACCAGCTGTGGAGCAGCACAGCAGTGGAGAGGCGGAACCCCTCATGCTCGCAGGGCTGTGCTGACGAGCACCACAGGAGCGCGGTGCATGAAGAGTCGGGACATGAGGTGACATCCGCCTGTGTGTGGGTGTGGAAACCCATAATGTGATCTCACCAAAAAGCTGAGCCAGCGAAAATGCAGCATGTAAGCAAAATACTACTGATTTCTCCTAAATACTCTTCTTCTTCTT